TCACACCACCACCCGAAGAAGATTTGGTTCGCACAAATTAGTAATTAAGTATCTATGCATTGACAACGTTTTATATTTTTTTGTTCTTTTTGACAATGTCACTCAAGTTTTAGTGTGTTTTGTGTTTTCATTATATTGTTGTTTGATAATTTATGGACCAATATTTTTTGCTTATACAATGTTAAATTTCAAACACATTATTGTATTACTTAAAATAGAATTGTACTCAAATCATATTATAGTTTAGATATGATTTAATGTTTTGTGATACAAATGTTATAATATATATGATACATGAAATATAACGTATATGATACATGTTTCATAGTTGTTATGTCTCATATTAGTAATCAGATATAATAGCCTATTCCTAATAAATAGTTTATTTAAAATTTAATGTATATGATTCATTAATTATAATGAATATGATTAATCAAACATAATATGTATATGATACACGATTCATATTTATTGTGTCAAATAAACTGGTTACAAACTTAATAGGGTAAATTTTGTATCATATAAGTTATCACATATAACAACTTATTGCTAATAGATAGATTGTGTATGATTTAATGTATATGATACAATAATCCTTATATTATTTAATGCATATGATACAATAATCATTATATGATTTAATTTATAAGATACATTACTTCGGTTATTATTGTGTATATAAGTTATTTTGCTTTTATTATCTAATGTACATGATACATTAGCTTTTATGTGCACTAACAATTTATTTATACTTACAATTGCACCTTAATATTTGTTTAACAGACATAACATTGATACACAAATTATTAATTTGAACAGCAAAACTCATAAATATTCTATCAGAATAACCAATGTACACAATACACTTTATTCATTTTAAATTATAAAAGTGATAACTAATTACGTGAAAAATTATTCAACAAAAACATTAATGTCTTATAAAAATAATGATTTCATTTTTCTTTTGTTAAGAAAGTACAAGTTCTTCTGTTGTGACCTTCTTGTCCACAACGTCCACAACAATTTGAAACTATTGGAATCTCATAGGGTTTTGCTATTGCATCTGACTTGTAGTAATCACAACAATATGAATACATATCCGTAACATTCTTGTCCTTTAAAATAGCGATTGCATGTGCACAAGGTATCTCATCTAGTTGAAATCTTCCACAAGAACATACTTTTCGCTCAAGACAAACAATGTATCTTCTTCCAGCTTCATAATCTGAGAAAATAAATTCAGATGATGGAACAACTTGCAGACATTAAAAAGGCAGCGATAAATTTATTTCAAAGAAATATTGATCAAATGGCCTAATGATATACCAATTTAGATACATAAAATATGTAGTAATGTATCATGATACATACCTTCATCTTTGAACTCTTAAAATCGTTTATAATCAATACCTCCTCAAATCTTTTTCCCAATGTGTCATTTGTATAAGAGGCTATTTCTCTGTTTTTGCAATGCCAAGAACCAAATAGAATTCTAATATAGACAACTGACGTGCCTCAACAAGATAACCATTGATACATTCCGCAATGTTCGAAGTCATCATTATACCTCTATTTACTGTTGAATGAACTCTCGACCACTTCTCAGACCCTGCATCCTCAAGGTACTCCTTAATTCTGTGATCAACTTTATCCACCTTAGCCATCAATATATCAAAATCCTCCTTTATGTATGCCTTGGCCATATAGTAGTATAGATCACTTAGGGTGTTTTTGCTCCTTTTGAAGTTTGAACAGACATTCTTTCAAAGATGTCATATGCATGCATAATGAGGTACATTTGGGAACACAATGCTTACACTCTTCATAATACTTTCATTCCTATCTGATCAACACACATTTCTTCACGCCCGCTAAATGTATTTTTGAATTGTTCGAAGAACAATGTCCATGAACAGTCATTTTCAGTGTCCACAACACCATATGCCAATGGCAATGCAACCTAATTACAGAGCAACACACACAATTTCATTTGATACATAACATTTACAACAAGCTCACAATTACAAAAAACACATACCTGCCCATCAAGTGTGCTTGCTGATAAAAATGTCCCTTTGTAAGCTCCACCAAGATGTGTACCATTGACAACAACTATTGGTCTGTAGTAATCGAACCCCCTCATCAATGCTCTTAAGGCTATGAACAAATACATGAATTCATCTTCCTCAGTTTTGTGAATCCTTATATATTAATTTGGATACACAGTATTTGGCATGTATATGTATCTCGGCATCTGCCTATATCCATCAGATGGTTTACCTCTTATCATTTCTAGTGCACGTTCTTTAGCACGCCATGCTTGCTGGTAAGATATTTGAACCCCATAGAATTCTCTAATATCATCAATTATATCTTCAGGAGTATGAATTCGTTTATGGTTGACCAATTTAGGAGTAGTCACACCACTAACAAACCCAACTGTTGCTTGGACTTTGGTTAGTATCTTATCCCGCATTAGACACGTATGTTCACTAATGAAGTATCTAACTTTGAAAACATTAGATTTTTTCCAGCATGAAGCCTTCATAGTCCAGCCAAATTCCTCTGAAAAGCACACTAACACATAGCTGTACATTTTTTTCATCATATTAATACATATAGCAGTTACATTTTATAATATATAAAACTATAATGTTCAAATTAATCAAAGAATGATATAATGTATCAACAATATTAACGACCAATACAATTAATTTAGTGTAGTTTTATGTATGAGATTCACAATTTTTTTAATGATACACGTAAAACAAAATTATAGAATGTATCTGCTTCATGATTGTTGCGACTCAAATCTTTAATGTATCAAGAACATTAACTTAATGTATCAAGAATATTAACGACCAACACAACAAATTTAGCTTAGTTTTAGGTATCAGATTCACAAAAAATTACATGATACACGTAATACAAATGCTTATGTTTTCACACATCAAAATTATAGAATGTATCTGATACATGAGGGATGCGACTCAATTCCTTAGCACTCCATGTATGTATCATACACAGTCCATTACGCTTATTTATACGCTAATAATTTTCAACTAATGTATCTTTACAAATAATGTATCATTATTATTATATCAGATATCATAATCAACAAATTAAACAAAAAATCAAAATCACCATCATACAAGTTCTAAAAATAATAATGTATCATACAAATAAAAATTACTTCACAAGAACCAAACACATTACTTCACAAATGATGATAAGATCTATAAACGTATCATCATTTATAGATCTAAAAAATCAAACACATTACTTCATAAAACAGATCAAATACTCCCATACCTTTGTCTATCAGATCTCTTTACTTTGCAATTGAAGTTGTGCTTTATCTTATATTTCGTCATCACGTCTACGATTGTTGCTTTATCCTTATATAATTGACTTGTCTTCACCTCTATACTGTTTGAATCAGTTATGTAATTTGTAGCTTCTAATTCTGGAATATAATACGAATCACAGATTCTTGATTCAACCACTGCAAGAGCTTCTGTATCCTGTGATGTGCATTCGACACACGTAATCTCTCCACATGTTCCATCAAAGTTATGTATATCACCACCAATCTTCTCAGTTTTATCAATGCATAATGGATACATTGCAAATTCCGACTCATTTTTTTCATTTCTAAATATAGTTTAACACCCATGTCGTTCTTGATTTTCAATGTAGACGAGTTACCTTCTACGATGTATCGAATTTCAATATTTTTCCTTACCACATCGATATCTAACTCGGCTGAAATTGCTACCTTAAGATTCAAAAATGAAATTATTTGTCCAACAATGATTCCGTCACTTTTGTAACCTTCATAATTCACTTCGCTCATCCAAATTCCTGAATGCCTCAACAGAATCGATATATTCATCATGTATCAGGATATTTTCGAGTTTATTTGAACTTATCACTGTTTCGAAATCGATGGCTGTTAAAAAATTGTTCTTCAATGGAGAAGATGTAATTTTGAAATTTGAAATTTGTAATGTGTGAGTCGATTACCTATTAGGATATGGACTGTTTAGGATCAGTTAGGCGTAAATCAAGTAAATTAAATTTTATGTTTTTTCCCTTTTTAGCGCAAATGTTAGCTATGTATCCGGCTGCCTACCTTTTTAAGGGATTTTTGTAAAATGGAAATTAGTTGGGACAAGATGTAATTTAGATCTTACACTATGAGATTCCTTTAAGTTTTACTTGTTGATTTGCTCTTAATAAAAGCCCAAATTTGTTTTTTTTAAAAAGACTTGATATTCACATTGCAAGTCATTTATTTTTTAGTTAGACTTGATAAAATTATATTCAAATATTTTCATACTTTATGACATTATATTTATAATATTAATCTCTTTTTCAAACATGTATTTTATGATGTTTATAGAAATCTTGTACTTCTAATTTTTATTATTAATTTAATTAAAACTATACTAATTTGAAAAAGATAAATCAATTTTTTTTTAAATATTAGTTAAGATTATATGTTTGTTGATTAGTATGTTTTTAAAGGACAATATATATAAATATTTAATTTAATATCATTTATAAAGACACTTATTTGTCTAATATTGATTTTTAATTTTACATAACTAACTTTTATTTTTAAAATTTAATATAATCTTTATGATTACAATGGTGCATCCAAACAATGCATTTGTAATTATACTATAGCAAATAAACATGTCTGCATAATTACTAAATTTTGTAATTATTAACCTAGCAATTACACAAATTTCAATTACTTATGACTTTCCAAACAGACCCTTATGCCCGTTTAATCAAGTCAAGTCAAGTCAATGTTATGGAAGACTTATTTAGAATTGTGTTTACCATAATATCGGGTCAAGCCCCATTTCATTAGGGCCATCCAAAATTCGACCCGATTAGTTCTCATTTTTCTAACAATGTCAGAAAAAGACTATCAATGGAGATTCCTTATAACAGTGATGTATACTTTCCAAATGAACACTGAATGAAGATAGCTGATTTTGAAGTTTAAGTAAAACCCTAGTTCAGATTCTTCTTAATCAGCAGAAATGGAGACCGGAAGAAGCAGTGAGAGTCCAGAAGTACCCAAGAAGGGCAAATCAAAAACCCCTCGAAAACCTAAAGATAGCATTCTCAAACAGAGTTTGTTCTCTCTCTCTCTTAGTCTATTGGTTGAGTCTAGGCGAAACTTCTAATCTTAACGCTTTGTCGCCTTTTCATTTACTTGGATTAATTTTCATTTTGTGCAGAGTCTCCCGCTGAGTTCTTTGCAGATAACAAGAACATTGCGGGTTTTGACAATGTGAGTTTCTTATATGCTTAGGATGCCTTATAATTTGAACTTTTCTCTAATATTATAATCTCAAATTGTTTTGTGCAATCACATATTATAGTTTGATGATTAAGGAAGTGAATTAAGTAATATTGCCTTGTTGGCATTTGAGTGATATGTTATCTGTAACCTGAAACTGTCAGTATATAAGGTGCAGTGTTAGCTGCAATGTGAGGTATGCACTGCACCAAAGCAAGGTGCTTGTTATTTTACACAAATGGAGACTCTGCCAAGTCTAAATGCTCAACTGTTGCGTTATTACTTATTGTTAACGTTAAGTCAACCGTTGCTTACAGTGACTGTTAATCATATTAAGTGAATTTATGTTTTACTTTCAGAAAAAAATAATTTCCTCGACAACTTAGATCAAATCTGAATTAAGAGAAATAATGGAGATGTTCCAAGAGAAATAGCTTGATACAGAAGTAGAATACAAAAATGCAGAAACACAAAAGGATTAGTGGAAAAGAAAAATGAATGCAATCAAAGGGTAATTGCAAAAGAAAGAGAAACAAAGTTGCATGGTCTCCATAGAACTATAAATGGAATTTTTAGTTTTTAAGAAAATATTGCTTTGTTAATTTATTTTGATAAAGTGAAGTTAATATTCCTCTTGGTTAATAACCGTTATGTTGGAGAGCAGAAGCTAGTACCTCAAAATTAAGTAAAGTTTAGGTACCTTTCCTAAAGAAAAGGTTGAAAAATTAACCTCCATATGCCCCGTGGTTAACATATAATCAGACTGTTGATAACTCATCAATGAATCCTTATACCCCTCTTGAAGAGATGTTCCTATATTCATAATGATAGTAGAGTAGGTGGAGTTTTTTTTTGGAACTGGTTACTTGTAGAGTAGGTGGATGTTTTTAAGGTCACACATTGTTGCCATTAGCCAACAAAAAAGAATCGACCACATTGAAGGGAATGTTGAAGGCATTAAATGAAATAGTCTCTCCCTTTTTTAATAGCTCAAAATTTTCATGAGGTGGAACTTACTTAAGCAATGATACACTAAATGCGCTGTTAATCAAGTTAGTCTTTCTTCAAATTTTCAGCCTGGGAAATGTCTTTACACTACTGTGAGAGAACTTGTTGAGAATGCACTTGATTCTGCTGAATCCATCTCTGAACTTCCAGTTGTAGAGATAACCATGTAAGTGATTATTTTGTCTATTTTAGATAACTACTTCAATGAGCTAACAGAGATACATTAATGGGAACCTCTCTTCAAAGCTTAGTGTTGTTTTTTGTTTTGCTTCTGTAGTGAAGAGATTGGTAGAGGTAAATTTAATTCCATGATTGGTCTGGCTGACCATGAACGTAGAGATGAAGCCCTATATGATGATTTTGAGACAGCAAAGGCTCGTGAGGTGTGTAAGCAGTGATTTACTCTCACTTAGATGGCGCTGTGATTTATATCTTATGCTCACTGTTTGACATTTAGCAGATTTCATTAGTGAAATATTTTTCTAACTACTGTGTCTAGAAAAGACTTGCCAAGGAAGCTCGGGTTCTAGAGATTCAAGCAAAGAATGTTGCTCTTGGGAAGAAAGTAAAAGACCCCGCAGCTACAAAAGCAGTTAAGGGTAGGGAGGCATCGTATTATAGGGTGACATGCAAGGTATGCTCTGTTTCTCTTTGTTCTTCTATATGCTGACTCTGCTCTCAGTATGCAAGACAAGAAAAGTACATTGTTGAATTAAATCAATTTGGCAAGTTAGTGGAAGATTGTTCTTCCCTAAAAGACTTTAATTACTGTACTTTGTTTCTAATATAGGATAATGGAAGAGGAATGCCACATGATGATATCCCGAATATGTTTGGACGAGGTTTGATGTGCTTGCCATTTCCAGTTATTTTACCGGTGGAAACTTTTGCATGTTCCTGCTTTTTGTCATGTTCCAACTTCTTTCATTTTTTCTTGACCTTCAATTGGGAGGAGCAAAGGTGTTTTAGACTGGCTTCTCTAGTTTAGTTATTAGGACATATTTTCCTAAGATTGTCATAGATCCAAGTGGAAACCTTTGAATATTGTAACTCTGTTGTACTACACATGATCGTTTTTCTAATGAAGTGTGCTTCTGCAGTTTTGTCTGGAACAAAGTATGGATTGAAACAGACACGTGGGAAATTTGGTCTTGGTGCAAAGATGGTATGTTGAGCAATTGGTCTTGACCTGATCATCTGTCATTCTTCTGATTCTATATTTTTGTGTCTTAGTTATTTGAGTTATATTCCCTGTCTTGTTTCTTGTTTCTGTTCTCTGTTATAGGAGGTGGTTGCGAGGGTGGTGGATTATGTTTCTGAATTAAGAGAATATTTTTGTACTGTTAGAATGCTTCTTCCAGTGATTTTAGCCTGTAATTCTTCTTTCCATTTTAGTTGCGCTCATCCAGACCTCAATGGATGTCAGCATGGAGCATAATTTAAGAATTTATCCTTTTCTCTCATTTCTACAGGCATTGATTTGGTCCAAGATGAGTACAGGACTTCCCATTGAGATTACATCTTCCATGAACAGTCAAAATTATACCTCATTCTGTAGGCTGGATATTGATATTCACAAGTATGAGATGACTTAGAAATAGAAAGATATATTTCAGAATGCATGGTAACACGGGATTATATTGTTTTTGTTTTCCAAGGTATATCACTGTATTACGCCTTCTTTTCAGGAATGTTCCTCACATTCATATACATGAAAAAGGGGAAAACAAAGAACGGTGGCATGGTGCTGAAATCCAGATTGTTATTGAAGGGAACTGGACAACGTACCGGGTATGTAGTTCTTGAATAGTTGTGACGAATGTTCTCTTAAGTTTCACCTCATTCATGTACTGAAAGCAAACTTAATCAAATAATTCACCTTCTATATTTCTGAAAACTGATCTTTTCTTTCTGTGTTTACAGTCCAAAATATTGCATTATATGCGACAAATGGCTGTCATCACGCCCTATGCCCAATTCCTTTTCCAATTCGTATCAGATTCTCCTGAGTACTTTCTTTATCTCCCCTCTGCCCCTTCACCCCTCTCCCTTCTCTTTCCCCCTTTGTTTTAATTAATTTGTTTGTGCAAGCTACAAGCACGTCCACAATTTTGAGTTCGTAAAATATGTGCTGCATTCTTCGGTTTCACTCTAGTTTTGAATTGATCGTAGGAAAAATGTGACTATAAGGTTCACCAGAAGAACAGACATAATGCCTTCAGTTCCTCTTGAGACCAAGTACCATCCATCTGCTGTGGACATACTTCTTATCAAACGGCTTATAACGGAAACATCAAAGCAGACTCTTTTGCAGTTCCTTCAGCATGAATTTGTAAACATTGGGAAGTCTCATGCGGAACGTTTAATCGGTGAGAACTTGAAACTGATTGCATTCATCTGTGTGAGATTCCTTGATAAAATAAAATTAGTTGGCTCTATGGCATATTGACCATGGAAAATAGTTTATCTATTGCTTGCATTCTATTCGGCCACTATTAGATGACAGTTTGTTATAGTGGTTACTTACTGCTCACCGACTCAATGCAGTTGGAAAAGATATAAAATGGTCCTTAATGTCACACCCCAATTTAGGGGGTACACATGTGACCGACACCCAATGCCTTAAACTAATACTGAGCAAAGCACAATGACATCCTACCCTTTCATGAACAATGCAATATAATATTCCATAAAATGTGTGATTCTCATTCAATTAAATATATGAAGTTTTGGAAGAATCAAAACAATGTGCGGAATCAAAGTAGATGATACATATCACTATCATGTCTTATGCATGTAGCTAGACCTCATAGTACATGTCATACGACCTCTAAAGTTGTAGATAAGAATTATGCACAGTACAAGTCCCCCTGGCTCGTTCAAAAATAAATGTCTATGAACTAGCACCTCGTTAAGAGTAGGGCTCTCCAACAAAAACTATGGAAGATGGCAACAACCTAGCACATCTTGCCACCATCCTGTGCAATAGTATTTGCATTAGACAAACCAAAAATGTCCTTTCAAGTTGAATACAATTTCATAAATTGTACCCCATAAATAACACTCCCTCCGTTTCAATTTGTTTGTCTTACTTTCTTTTTTAAATCTGTTTTAAAAAGAATGTATTTTTTTTTGGCAACTCTTTAATTCTATTTTTCCACATGACATGTTTAAGGCCAAAAAATTAAAGGGCATTTTGATAGATTCTATATATGTTTAGTTTAAGACCATAAGGCTCAAAAGTCTTCTTTCTTTTCTTAAACTTTGTACCCAATCAAAACCAGATAAACAAATTGGAACAAAGAGAATATTAACTAAGGCAAGCAAGGGGTCCATGTATTATCGGTCCAAACCAGTTCCGGTAGACCAGTTACGCTTAATATTGATTAGGGCCTGGTTTGGGGGGGGTGGGTTACCATAATGGGTCCTAGGGGTTTTCTCGATTGACCTGAACTGTCGCAACGATTAGAATTTTATTTTTATTTTTAAATTAAAACAACCATGTAGACGTTCCCCCCCCCCCCACCAACGGCTATAATCAACCTAGCCCCTTCCCTAACACCCCCTACCCTCTTTTAACCCCCCATACACTAAATATTCATTATTCTCTCCTGTTTTTCTCACTATTACTAACTCTCTTATTTATATATATATATATATATATATATATATATATATATATATATATGTTCTCTCAATTCTAAATTATAATTTTGTGCTATTGGCTAATTGGAGTTAGAAGATTTATTTGAAACAATTTGCAAGCTTCAATTGTTATCTCTCAATTCTGGCTTTTGGTTATATATGTATGCTTTTACGGAAACGTTTATTTGTTTATTTATTATATTTTTTTTGTTATATTTATCTTGTTTGTTTTTTTATATTTTAATTATTTTAAACTTCAAAACATGGATCCCCTTAAAAAAAGTAGTGGTAAAAATCAATTTATGGAAAAAAAGGTGCTACTAGTAGGGGTGGGGGTAGAAGTAGTTCTCATTGCAACCTAGATTTAAAATTAATACCAACGATTATACTCATGTTGATGAAACTTTTTTTATTTCACGTCCCACTATTTTAGAATTTAATTATGAATATGAAGTTGACCATGAGACCTTAAATAGATGGTTTGCTAATTTTGAGGAAGAGTTGGAGGAAGAAGTAGAAATAGAAAACCAAGACTTAGATGACACCCCTACTAGTTTGGCCACGAAATTACCGCATTAAGATGTTCTCCCCCTTTACCTATGTTTTCTAGGGGTACCGCAAAGGCCGAACTTCCTAAATGATCTTTAGCTTGACAAATTATTGAACAAAATAAGGAAAAACTACTGCTACCTGTTTTATATGTAAGCTAAGTTGCTCGGACTCGGGTGTGGGTATTCGAGACCGATGCGAATTCGAGAGTCGAATTCGGCAAAATCTAAATTTTAAGATTTGGGGGTGCAAATCCGAGTATGGATACGACTGTGTGGATTCGGCTAAAAATATATATTCAATAATATAAAAATATAGTTATAAATATATTCTAAATTTGAGAGATATGTTGTGATAAACTTGCATGAATTTTGTAGAATTCAATCTTCCATTCTCCAAGATGAGATTAGTCTTCCATTCTTCCTACGAAAACACAACAAAATAGCAACTAAACATTAAAAGCATATTACAATTTACAATAGAATAAATATAACTAGAAGAATAAAATAAATTGAAAAAAACTAACCATAGAAAAAGGATAGTAACTCTTGAAACAAAGTGAAAGTGAAAAAACTAGAATTATTAAGATTTAAGATATACACAAAGATATTTATCCACAATCTAGATATTCATAATTAGTAATCAATATTCAATACACCAAGTTCAAATCAACTTGTTGAGAATATAATTAAATAATAAAAGTGTGCTCTCTCTAACAGCTTAAGCTTTTAGATGAGATGGTTACACATTCAACATGGTATCAGAGCAGGCAAAGGTTCTGGGATTGAATCTCATCGCCACCCAAATTAAAAAGAATTTACACATGCCTGGCCCATGAAAAAAAATTCAGGCCCGCACGTGAGGGGGCGTGTTGAGAATATTATTAAATAATAAAAGTGTGCTCTCTCTGGACTTTTGTCATTCTTTAACACTACTATTTAACAAAAAACAAGAGATTGTCTCAACTTAACTCATAACTCATAACTAACATAACAACACAATATTGCCAATTGTCATGTTATTTAATTAAGTTCGCTACTCTTCCGCATCTTCCTCAACTTCTTCCTAATCTTCAAACTCTTCCTCAAATATCACACCTTCAATTTGAGGTTCATCTATTGATAACTCGGTTAGATCATTAGTTGTCTCATCAATATCAAATCAATCTCCTCCTATAACAAATTAAAAAGAATAAATATATTAGAAAATTTTATATAAAGAGAAAAAAGCATCATGCAAAATAAATAATTGAGGAAAATAATAAAGAAAATATAGACATACCAACATCCCAATATTTGCTTGGCATAGTTATATATTTTTCTTTCCTGCAAGACGACAACAACTGGAGATTATAATGTACAAACACTTAATCTTCGGCTCTTGAAGTTGCTAACTTATTTCTCTTGATATTGTGAATCAAAGAATATGTACTACAATTTCTTTCACAAACAAGAGGAAGAAGCAGTTGAGTAAGCAACTTGTAAGCTAATTGTTGCAAAAGTTGAGCTGAGATGCCATGATTTACCCACCAAGAAAGAGAATCTTCATACATCATAGCCTCAATCACACGAGGCTCACTAAAATAACCACTTCCGCTACAAAATGATCCATACTCCGATGAGACTTGTTCAATTTCATTAAAATCTTTAAAGTACATTTGAAAGCACTTGACTCTGTTCAATGAAATTTCTTTATTTTCATTAGGAGCTAGCCTTCGAATCCATTCTCTCCTTACAGCCATGATTCGTGATAATATTTGGAAACCAACGAATGTGCCATACAATGTAAGAGGTGTGTTGCTTTTGTTCCACCTAGCCACAAGAATATCATGAATAATATCGAAAAAAATTGATTGATCGGAAATGAGATCTTTCCCCTCATGCTCAAAGATTACTTTCTTGACCTTCTCAATCATTGAGTCCCACATATCATAAATGAGATGTAATTTTGGACCATTAATATCGGCACTTCTTAGCATATCAACAATTGGTTCCGTAAATTCCAAGTAGTAGTCAATACTATCCCATTTCTCATCATTCATTATAAAAGATTTTATTCACGAGTTTTGGCTTCAATTCCCTTATCCCCCTTATAATTCTTCCATTCATCATCCATGACCATTTTCTCCAAAGACGACTTCACTTTGCGAATCCGGATGGTCATAATAATGTGTGAGGCAAATCTTGTTTCACCAACTTTCAATAAGCACAAATCCGGATGTTTTTGAAAAAGTGCATGTGTCAAGGCATGATTCACAACAAAGTTCTTCAAATTACTCCACTAACAACAACAACAACAACATACCCAGTGAAATCCCACTAGGTGGGGTCTGGGGAGGGTAGAGTGTACGCAGACCTTGCCACTACCTCGTTGAGGTAGAGAGGCTGTTTCCGAAAGACCCTCAGCTCAAGTACAACAAATCCAAGTAAAATGAAGAGGGAAACAGTGTATAAAGCATCAATAAAATAATGCGAGAAGTGAAACGCAGTAAACAACATAAGGCTATAGGTATCACAAACAAGAACTGCAAGTGCAAGGCTAGGACTACCACAAACGCTAACAACCCAAACCCTCGCAAGGAAAGCCAACGCGCTAACCCTACTAACCTACAACCTTAATGCGCGACCTCCACTCCTTCCTATCTAGAGTCATGTCCTCGGTAATGTGAAGCTGAGCCAAGTCCTGTCTAATCACCTCTCCCCAATACTTCTTAGTCCTACCTCTACCCCTCTGCGTACCCTCTACAACCAGCCCCTCACACCTCCTCACAGGGGCGTCTGCGCACCGTCTCTCCACATGTCCAAACCATCGCAATCTCGCTTCCCTCAGTTTGTCCACCACAGAGGCCACTCCCACCTTCTCCCGGACAACCTCATTCCTAATCTTATCGCTCCTAGTGTGCCCACACATCCATCTCAACATCCTCATCTCCGCAACATGCATTTTTTGAACATGTAAGTTCTTGACTGGCCAACACTCCGCTCCATACAACAAGGCCGGTCTAACTACCACTCTGTAGAACTTACCTTTAAGTCTAGGTGGAATTTTCTTATCACACAAGACTCCAGAGGCAAGCCTCCATTTCATCCAAGCAACCCCAATGCGATGTGTGACATCATCGTCGATGTCACCACTTCCTTGGATTACAGACCCCAGATACTTAAAACTTTCTTTC